CACCCACACCATATACATTTTAATGCAGATGTTGAAAAAGAATCAAGAATAAAAATGAATAATCAAATCACTTATTTTAGGAAGCCATAGAAAACAACAAACTGAAGTTTGTTTTTATATATATAAATGCAAATATCAATGAAGTAAAAAACAATGTCCAAGAAAGAATATTAAAAAATAAGGGACAGTGAAGCCCATTATGAAGAAGACAAATTGGGATGAGTTACAATACAGTTATTAACATTTACTGTAATGTTACCATAATTAGTCCATGCGATATTGGCACATGGATAGACAAATAGACCAGTGGAACTGAATAGAAAATTGAGAAGCAGACTCACACATACACATTTGTCTCTTTTACAATGAAAAAACCCTTACAACATAGTGGAAAAAGGATTGTCTTTTCAGTAAATGGTGCTGAATTTATATGTTCATGTAGAAAAAGTCATCTTTGACTTCTGCTTCACGTTATATATATATATATATATATATATATATATATATATATAAATCAATCCTACTCAGATTGTAGACCTAAATGTGAAAGGTAACACAAAGCTTCTATAAGTTCATAGAGGAAAATATCTTTATGGCATTAAGATAAGTAAGAATTTCTTGAGTTGGACTTAAGAAGCACTATTTATACAGGAAAGATTAACTGGGCTACTTTACAATTTAAATTCCTGATAAAGATGGATTTAAGAGAGTTAAGATGCAAGCCACAGAGTAAGAGAATACATTTATAACACATATAGCTAATTAAATATTTGTAATGAAAATATATTAAAAACTCCTATGTGGTTATACACCGTATAAAAATATTTCATTCAATGACAGACTTCATATACAATGATGGCCCCATAAGATTATAATAATGTATTTTACTATAACTTTTCTATGCTCAGATATGTTTAGATACTGTATTAGTTTGTTTTCACACTTCTGGTAAAGACATACCTGAGGCCTGGGGAATTTACAAAAGAAAGAAATTTAATGGACTCACAGCTCCACATAGCCGGGGAGGCTTCACAATCATGGTGGAAGGGGGAAGACACATCTTATATGGCAGCAGACAAGACAAGGGAATGGGAGCCAAGGGAAAGGGGTTTCCCCTTATAAAATCATCAGATCTCATGAGACTTATTTACTAACATGAGAACAACATGGGGGAAACCGCCACCATGATTGAATTATTTCCCACTGAGTTCCTCAAACAACATGAATTATGGAAGCTACAATTCAAGAGGAGATTTGGGCGAGGACACAGCCAAACCATATCATATACTTATTGTGTAACAATTGCCTACAGTATTCAGTACAGTAATATGCTGTTCAGTTTTGTAGCCCAGAAAAAATAGGTTATATCATATAGCCTAGGTGTCTAGTAGTCTATAACATCTGGGTTCCTATAAGTGGTATACTCTATGATGTTTACTCAATGACACAATCTCTTAATGATACATTTCTTAGAATGTATTTGCATCATTAAGGGCACATGACTGTGTTTTTAAAAAGACAAAAATCTGATTAACAGAAGTCCAAAAAACTTAATAAGAGTCTACATAAAAGAGGATCCAAATATCAATAAACATAATACAAGTTTCTCAATATCACTAGTCATCAGGAAAATCCAATTTATAAGATCAATGATGTTCCACTTCATACCCAGCCAAAGTTAAAATTAACAAAACTTATAATAGCAGGTGTTGGCAAGAGTGTTGGTGCAGCTGGAACACTTATGCTCAGCTAACAGAATGTACATTGCTATGACCAATGTATTAGTCCATTTGCATTGCTATTAAGGAATACCTGAGACTGAGTAATTTATAAAGAAAAGAGGTTTATTTGGCTCACAGTTCTGTGCACTGTACAAGCATGGCACCAGCTTCTGCTTGACTTCTGGTGAGGCCCAGGAAGCTTACAACCATGGCAGAAGGCAAAGGGGGAACAGGTGTGTTCACATAGCTACCGAGTGACCAAGAGAGGGAGGGAGGAGGCACCAGGGTCTTTTAAGCAACCAGATCTAGTGTGACCTAAAAGTGAGAACTCACCACTGTGAGGACAATACCAAGGCATTCATAAGAGATCTGCCCCCAATACCCAAATGCCTTCCACTAAACCTACCTCCAACATTGGAGGTCACATTTCCACATGAGATTTGGAGGGAACAAGGCACCCAGACCACATCAAGCAGTTAGAAAATTGTTTGCTATTAAACTGACAGAGGAGCAGAAGATCAAACACCGCATGTTCTCACTCATAGGCGGGTGTTGAACGATGAGAGCACATGGACACAGGGAGGGGAGCACTACACACTGGGGTCAGTTGGGGGGAAATAGGGGAGGGACGGTGGGGGGTGGGGAGCTGGGGGGGGGATGGCAGGGGGAGAAATGCCAGATGTAGGTGATGGGGAGGAAGGCAGCAAATCACACTGCCATGTGTGTTCCTATGCAACAATTTTGCATGTTCTTCACATGTACCCCAAAACCTAAAATACAATAAAATAAATAAATGGGGAAAAAAAAAGAAAATTGTTTGCTATTATCTACTGAAGATGAACATTCTCATACTCTGTAAGCCAGCAATTCTGCTCACATCTATAATGTCCTCCCTCACTCTGCACACACATACATGCAGTAAAAGGCATTAACCAGACTGTTGACAGCAGTACTATTTTTAATAGACAAAAACCTGAGATGGTGTGAATCCCCACACATAATAGAATGTATAAATAAATTTGTTGGTATATGCATGCATGGATAATATAAGACAATGTAAAAGAAAAAAATTACTTCTACATGTAACAAAATGAATGAGTCTCACATAGGTTGAGAAAAGAAACTGGGTACAAAAAAGATGTAATTTACTATTTCATTCATATGAAAGTCAAAACAGCTGAAACAGTTCCTTAATGATAGAAATCATGACAGTGGTTTCCCTGGGGGTATTGACCAGGTAAAGCATGAATGAGGCTTCTGGGGTGCTGTTAATGTTGTGTATTTTGATTTTGGTTGTTATTTCATAGATGTATCTAGCTCTACACTTGAGATGTGTGCACTATACTGTGGGCAGAAAGTCTGTCTATATCTGTATCTATTTCCATCTGTATAATGAGGAAATTTTGTATATACCTGAATACAAATAATCTGGGACACATTGTTAAGAAAAGAAGGTACTGAATAATGCTTATAGTATGTAACATTTGTGTAAAAAAACAAAAATCAGAATATATTTTTGTTTACATTTGTATTTTCATGAGACCCTATAAATGTGCTTAGCTGTAGAAAGTATAGGAGTGAATGGGAAACTGAGGCAGCAGGATGGGGTGAAAGGACACTTTCCATGTACACTTGTAATACCATTTTGATTTTGAACAAAGTTAATACATTCCTAATTTCTTTGATATACATATGTTCCAAACGTGAAATTAATTTGTTCACTTGCTACATTGTTCCTCAAAATCGATAGAATTCATAGTTATTTTTCCTTTTTCTATAAAGTGCTGCTTCCTTTATAATGCATTCACAGTTCCACATGGCCGGGGAGGCTTTACAATTATGGTGGAAGGGGAAAGACACATCTCACATGGCAGCAGACAAGAGAAGAGAATGAGCCAAGGGAAAGGTGTTTCCTCTTATAAAACCATCAGATCTCATGAAACTTATTCACTACCATTAGAACAATATGGGGGAAACCACTCCCATGATCTAGGATAGATTGTTAAGAAGGCACTGAATAATGCACCTTCCATTCAGATTATCCATTTAGGTAAGTTCAACTGTGTCCATGTTTGCATCAAATATATTAAATGATTTCTCACTGAGTTGTGTGTGTGAGTGCATATGACTGAGAGGGAGAGAGAGAGACAGATGTTTCTTTACTAGGCAAACACCTTACGCTAAATGTTTTAATGTTTTGAGATGCTTCCTTTAGTATTTATTTTAACACTATCTTCACTAGCTTAGATTGCTGGAATACCTTCAGACATTTTAATGAGTGCCCAACCTTTGTCAGTGTCTTGGGGTACATGAATCACTTTTCCATCTCAGTTCTCATTCAGAGCAACGCTTTTTCACAGGCCTCTTACATGCTCCATGTGTTCTGATTCAGCGGGTTGAAGGATATTCTGCTGTCATTGATTTATAGTAACTCTGTGAAAATGATACACAACCTATTTTTTTAAAAGCAGGATTGTTTTTGTCAGTGGTAATGTTCTCATTTTTGTATTTGATTAGAGTATCTCTGATTTTTATTCACTACTTTGGCTAATGCCACTTGGCAGCACTAGGTCTTCAATGGAGGTTGTATTTGGATCATTTAATAACAAAACTGGAAGGAAATTTGAAACATCTTAACAAAAATATGACTTTACAAGGTACTTTTCCATAATATTCCTTGCCAAAGATGAAAGTCCTTTTGCTGCTGTGGCACTTTTATTTTCATTTGGAGATGAAGAATTGAAGGATAGAGAAGATAAATGTCCAGAGTGACTCGTGGAGTTAAAAGTCTGACCTTGGGTTTGTGGGCCCCTCATCCAGTGGGCTCTCCGCCATGGCACAGTTGTTCTGAAAAGACATCTGGCCTGGCAGAGCTATTCAGAGGCATGGAGTGTTCCACTGACTGACCATTGTTATTTAAGAGAATTTTGGATGTGGTGGGTAAAAATAGTACTAATGACTTCATGCAAGTTCTTAATTCAGGCTAATGGTTAAGCAAGAAGCATAGATAAGTGACTTGATGCTATTGCAGAAGGCAGATGACCTGGAGTTGGATATGGCAATATGAGAAGCTAAGAATTTCCTTCTTTTTGCTATCATTGCTTTGCTAACACGTATTTCTTACTGGTACTTGTATGACTCAAATACTTATATGTAATAATTTACTTCAATTATTCTAGCTCTCCTTTAGAGTTCAAGTGGCTTTACAATTATTTATCTTTCTTATTTTGTTAACTGAATCTTAAGAGGAGTTGTAATTAAAGGATTGTTTTTGTTTTCTTTTTATTTGGGGCACATATTTGTTTGTTTTTTTGTTTTTGTTTTTGTTTTTTGTTTGACTAATGACTTTAATAATTGGATAGTTTGGGAAAATAAAGGCCTTTATTTTTCACACAAAGCATCTCCAGTAATAACTAGACGTTTTATGGACATGTATGATTAATGAGGGGGAAAAAGAAGGTACAGGGTAGTGCTGATATAATCCTGAGAGGAGTAGGGCAAAGACTGTTGTAAGGCCAGGTCCTGGGAAGTCCTGCTGAGTTCCTATTTCTTAATTAGTTTGCAAATAACAAAGGGAAGCTTTTACGATGGTGGCGATATCATATGGAGTCACACAGGGCAGGGAGGATATGAACAGGATTAGAAAAAGATTCGAGCTCTCAGTCCAGTTGGTTCTGCTGCCAACTAACAATGTACCCTTGGGCCTGCCACCTAACCTCTCTGACATTCATTTTCTTTATCTCTAAAGCAAGTGAATGCAACACACTCTTAAGGCACTTTTCAGCTTTTGAGTAGGAAAATAAAATACAAGTCTTTTCACAGAGGGTTATATGTCTGTCACTGATTATAATTTGCAAGATGAATTTGGGGATACTGGAAAAATAAGCCAATATTTGTAATGATACCCTGAAAACTTAAGGACATTTGGGAGTTAGTTGATCAAGGTTCTAGGACTAGTTTTGAAGTAGTCAGTTACTTTGGGCAAATTTTCAAGTTTCTCCAAGGATTAGTTTAATTTTTTGTATGTGTCACTTGGCTTAGACTGTCACTGAATTTTCTATCAGCAATATTTGTTATCTCCCTTGCTTTTTTTCTTCAGAATGATTGCTCAAGGTTGTAAGTTCAATCTCTAAAACACACACTATCACAATACCAGTTTCTAAAATATTTCTGCAAGAAGTTTTAAAAATATATGCCACCCCAATGAGTCAACATACATGTACTTTTGCTAGGGTTCATTCCAAAAAAATAATTGCCCCATTTGAATCATGATTTATCAGGCTTTAAGAAAACTAAACATAAATCAAAAGCCTTTGGAAAAATAAGTTCTTATTTTCAGATCTTTATCTGTTAAGAGAGGATGAAGGGTGGGTAAAAGTAGGGATGTGACGGGAGTAGTGTATACCAGTTATACAAAATAACTAAAACAATTATGAAATGCTTACATATTCATGGCCAGTATAACTTGAATTATGAATGAACCATTAAAGACAAAGATTCTTAACCAATCATTTATCTTTTCCTTTTAAAATGTAAGGCATCAAACTTAGAAGAGCTATAACTATTTTATTTGATGGTAACATACAAACAAATGACAGATAATATTTTTAAAGTGCTATCACCATTGTAACTTTAATCAGATAAAACATAATTATTATTAACATTGTTTCCATTATAGCTGATTTGTCTAAATTCTAATTACAATAAAATATGTCATGTTTTATCCTACCCAATAGTTTTTATATTGAGAGTGAAAGAAACAGTAAAGCACTCAGAGGAAAAATTCGTGCCATATCCAAAAGTATTATTTTGGAAATTTACTTTAGTGTCATATTTATGTTAAAATATTTTATTTGTTTCCACAGTATTTCTATGAGATATTAGACTGTGTGTCCCTGTATCTCTGTTTTACTCCTGGAGAAACAAACACAGTATGTTTAGTAAATTTTTCAAGGTCATTCACTGCGTCAGAATAGCACTGGAATAGAATTTATTGGTGTATTTTTCTTACGCAATCCAGCACATAACACAGTGCCCTAAAAGAGTTAGTATTCAATAAATAGTCATTGAATGAAAGGCTTACTGGACAAACCATTTTGTTCTATGAAATCCAAAAGATGTATCATATTTGCTCTTTCTTTACTTAGTAAATTGAGCAGGCTGGAGGAGCAGTTGAGCAACAAACTTCATCCACTGTCCTGCCCACAAGTTTACATTGCTACATGAAGGGGCTTTGCACGATGGTACTGTCTGGTCATTCCTGAAATTATACACTTCCTACATCCCCCATAAAGAGAGTCCTTAATCTGGTTCATGTAACACTGGCTTTCATGGTGTGAATGAGGTCTACCAGCATCTGGCAGAGACCAACTTCTTTCACAAAAGTCTCCAAAAATCCATTATTAGTAATGAATGTATGATTGATACCTTAGCCTAATAATTTTTAGTGAAACTGTTTTATATCTTGGTCCTAAAGAACCATAGTTAGTGACAATCCTTGAAAATAAATCACTTGGCTAGTCTTCCTCTGGCTATCTCAGGGCTTGCTGATGATAATTACAGTGCTGGAAAGGATAACTCAATTTATTTCCTGAGTTAATTTGTCATAAGTTCAGTTGCAACTGTAAACATGATAAGGTCACAGAGGCATGTGTTTAGAGTTGATAAAAACAATGTAGTAAAGAACATGAATATTTATATCACTAGGAATATGACAAAAACATAGCAGTCATTCCCAGTGATACAATGTCAAGTAGGTTAAAAATTGTTATCTATGTCACTGGCACTGATGACCAGTGACCTAAAAAATAAGTAAGACTTCTCATGAAGGCATTTAAGGCTAAAATGAATTCCTTAAACTTTAATGGCATTCATATTTTGCCATTATGAAAAAGAAAACATTTAACTTCACAGAAAGAAGATATTAAAGTGAAATGAAAATATTTTTACATCTGTCACCCAAATTTAGTGATTGATCTAAAATTTCACCCTGGTGACATTTTTATTAGGACACGATCTGGAGAAATCTCAGAATTCCACATCTCATTTGCTTATATTTTAAACAAATGACTCACTAGACCTGCCTAATTAAGTGGTCTATTTTCACTGGACTGAATGTCCTAATTATCATTCAAGACATATCTTAAAGATTTATGAAGCATTTATTCTCCATCTTACCATGTATTAAGCTGTGACATATTTTGAGTTCTAAAAGAGTATCACAAGAAACTTATAACAGTCTGTAGTACAACTGGTACCCATTGTTAGAGCAAAGCCACAACTAAAATGGAAATAGACATAAATAAAAGAAAATCATTAAGCATCAACTTATTGGGTAAATTGAGTTTAGATACCCATATGTTGCAAAAGAGTCACTTTTATATAAGTTCCCCCATATTTTAAACTTGAAGCATAGTCTATGTTGTCATTAAAAAAATAGCTAACTGAAGCCAGGAATTCCATTTTGTAATTGTGTCAATTATTTTGAAAATAGCATTATTAAGTAAACTTTAAATAAGTTTGTGTACAACCTTATAGTGGCTGGAAACAAAATAAATACAAGCACCCCCTCCCACTGCAGCTAACACACATAACAGATTCTTGAGACTTAGACCCTTAAACATGTCTGCTCATCACTCAATCCATTTGGCCACCCTTTCTGTCCACACCAAGCTAAAGTGCAAAATGTTTTCACAGAAATTCTCTGGGTTGCATAAGTTCAATTGCCTGCACGATTGTGGACAAAACATCTCATTTCCAAAATCTTAAAGCACTTGTAAGGGTCATACATGTGTGTTACTGTCTCTGTTGCTTCTGTCCTGGAGAATTTGCTTGGCCAGAGCTCTCTCCAGGGCGGTGTGCGGGAGTGAAAGGAAACTGAAATCCATAGCCATTGTACTCATCCAAGTAGACGCACTGGAAGAAACTGATGGGACCTAAGGAACAGAGCATGACAATTTGTTAAGACATGCAGAACATGAGCAAAAAAGCACAGTGAGGCAGTACAGTGCAGCAGATAACATCACAGATTCTGCCATCAGCCTCCGTAGCTGTTGGCAAGTTACTAAACCTCGCTGTATCTTGGAGTCTTCATGTATAAAATCAAAACAACAAAAACCTCGCAGAAATATTATGACAGTTTAATGAGTTACATGTGCTCTTAAAATTCTTCCTGGTACATAATAAGCCTTTAATAAGTGATAATTAAAATGGTCTGGCAGAGAAAGTCAAAGTGCTTATCATATAGACATCTGTTGATGTACATAGCAATCACAGAGACATAGTAACAGGTTTCAAAACATGAGCTTATCAATATGCAAAGTAACAGACTCTGTGTGTGTGTGTGTGTGTGTGTGTGTGTGTGTGTGTGTGTGTGTGTGTGTGTGTGCATTTTATAATGTCACGGAGAGGTGGTTGCCAATGTCTAGAGGTTTTATTTGCCTTTACTTTAGAGGCAAGAGCCTCCCTAAGGTGGCTTGGTTGCTCTTTCAGGCTATACTCCCAGGTAGCAGCTCTGAGCAGAAAGCAAAACAGGAAAGTTAAGGGAGTGTGGTGCAAGTAAGGACTATGGCCAGTAAGCCGGTGCTCCCAGGTAGCAGCTTTGATAAAAGATGGCGAGTTTAGCCTCTCCTCACAATCTTGGGTGACTACAGACTTCCAGTGTTTTTTATCCTATCTATTTGCATTCTGTCAACCAGCCATAGAGTTTTACAGAAGGCCAGGAAAGAAAATGACAATTAAAGCTAGTGGTGTGTGGGAGATGGGGAAGATTGCCAAATCTATATGATACTAGGGGTTTATGAAGTAGAATAAAGCAAAAGATAGAAAATAGGAAGCTGGAGAAGCAACCAGGGAGTATTCTGATTCCATTTCCATGGGTCACTGTGTTTTCAGGGATGACAATAGTTTGAAAAATCTTGAATTTAGTTCTCTTTTCCAGTGCATCTCATCTAGAGTTATTTTCTCTTTGTTCTGTCTTCTAACTGAAGCAATAATACAACTCCTCTCTCTTCAAATTTGTGGAGGTTATGGGAGCTTGGGGGTTGGGCAGGCTATAAGAGGAACAGTAGTAAAGCAAAATATGAAGTTTCAAGCGTTTGTGTGATATAGCCACAAATTGTTACCAGTAGGTTAATAATTGTGAAAGTTTTGCTATACAAATTGAAAATATGTCCAGATTTACCTATAAGTCTTTTTCTTATGGATTTTGTAATACTACTTGAAAGTATCATAAGACTCTGCTTATTTCCCCGTATTTGTCACAAGCTTACTATATGAAGGATTATAATGAGTGTCTTATCTACTGCAGTAGTTCCAGCATCCAAAGAAGTACTTGGAACATAGTAGGCATTCCGCATCTGTTCATTGAATCAACTATTAATACAGAGTAGGAGGCATTTACTACTATAAGGGACGTTTTAGTAATTTCCTGCACAAATACATACAAGAAGCACTGGAGGACTAAGAAACATCATTTTTTTCAGACAAATATCTAGCTCTTTACTTTAAAAGCATTATGTGAAACAAACTTCAGTTATACTTATTTCAAAAAATTGCTTCCCTTGTTCTGTTCTGCAATTACTTTAATGCATATATAAATTCAAAATGTATTGCTTTACCATTTGAACAAAAATGTCCAATTTGAAAGTACCAAAATAATGAGAATCTTGGGCATTGAATTTTGTAACTGCATATGAATATCGATTACATTCTAAAATAAATGATCCCAAGGACTGAATACTTAGAACTTACCATATATCTAGAAAAATCAAAAAGAACTTTGAATCTTAGAAGTGAGTTTCCAAGAAATTGAATTGCTAAAACCTATTTCTTAATTTTTTTCTACTTGATATAAAAAAATTTGGCACATTACTTCAGCTGTCCTATTATAAAGCAGGCAGTAACACATATTTAAACATAGATTCAGCTACAGTACTAAGGATCAGAACTATGTAGAAGGATTTGCGATAACTCCCCTTCGGTCATTACTTGTAATTCTTCCAACTATGTGCCTCTTGCCTAACACAAAAGTGACATGCTTCTCTTTAAAATATAAATGACCTACCTACTTTAATGTTATCCTTCCTGTCTCTGCTAAAAATCTTTTTCTTCGAATACAGCTCTTAAGTGTCTAGCATTTTTACATAGACGTAGCATCTTTAATGTAGAATGATTTATTAGTTTTAATCTAATTATAAACTTACTTTTCTGCTTCTTTGTGGAAGACACGTCTTCAGCTTCTTCTAGTGGATACAAAAATATAAAAGTAAACAACTTGTACATTTACAGCAATTATATAAATATGTATGGGACTGAGAATATCTAAACAGGAGTGCACTATGAAAGAAACAGGAGTTATCCTTTTTATAGTATACTCCAGATTTGTACACAGATTCTATTCATATTTTCACTATAAAATTTAATAGGCAAGAGCCAGAGGTAGAAGGGGAGCCCATGAAAAAATGGCATGCTACAGGCAATTGTTTAAATAAGAAAACCGGCCCTCATGTGTCAGATATTCACTAATGAGGATTGGCTGAGATGCATTCCTTTCCTGAGAAGAGATCGTTGAGGCTCAGAGTTACAATATGGTCAGGTTAAAATCTGGCTAAAGATGAACATTTTAGTCAAAAGAATTCTAAATTTGGAGGAACATATGTTTTTAGTGATCATCCTTGCTATGAAAGTAGAGCAGCAGCCCAGTATCCAGCATCTTTACTTTTCACATCTGATTCACTGACTTTATTTATTTATTTATTTTTGCTGTAGTAACAGACATCGCAAGTTTATGCAGTGATGGATAACTTGAAACTATTCCTTTGAACCTATTTCTTCTGTTTAGAAGTTCTTAACTGGTATCCATGAATGGGGTTTTGGAGGTTTTTCTGTAAAATACTGGTAAGAAGTTGTGAGAGAGAGAGAGAGAGAGAAAGAAAGGGGGGGGGAGAGAGAGAGAGAGAGTACGTGTGTTTGTGTGCTTCATAGAAAGTTAGGTTTATAGATCTTAATCAATTTTGCAATTGGTTCTAGAGCTATTCCCCTCAGAGTGTGACCTATGTACCCATAGTTTCAGTATCATTTGATTAATTTATATAAATGTAGATTTTTTTAGGTTCTAACTCAGACATTTCATTCCAAGGGAACCAACAGTTTTGGAAGCACTGATCTAGGAGTTAAAAACATATGGGTGGCTATTCTTAATAATTAAATATATATATATATATATATATATATATATATATATATATAGTATTCAGAAAAGTATCTTAATACAAGTGTAAATCTCAACTTTTATTTCATAAGGTACCCATCCTGTGTGTCTTTTCTCAAAGCACAATTTTCCACATTGTTAGTTAATTTTGGGCACTGGCAAAGAATTTATACTTTGACGACTAGAAGAATGCTTAGGCAAATTCTTATTGCCTGCAGACAAATTTAGAAGTGGAAGAGAAAATACCTATCTTTATATGCAAACTATGTACCCGACAAAAGCCCAGTATCCAGAGTCTGTAAGACACTTAAATAAGTGCAAGAAAAAAGCAAACAACCCCATTCAAAGTGGGCAAAGGATATGAACAGGTATTTTTCAAATGAAGACATACATTCAATCAACAAGCATATGAAAAAAAGCTCAACATCACTACTTGTTAGAGAAACGCAAATCAAAACCACAGTAAGATAACATCTCACACCAGAAAGAATGACAATTATTAAAAGGCAAAAAATAACTTATGTTGCTGAGGTTGCAGAGAAAAGGGAACACTTATACGCTGTTGGTGGGTGTTTATATTAGTTCAACCATTGTGGAAAGCAGTGTGGTGATTCCTCAAAGAACTAAAAACAGTACTACTATGCAACAATACTACTATTCAGCAATGGGATTGCTGGGTAGATACACAAAGGAATATAAATCATTCTATCATAAAGACACATACATACATATGTTTATTGCAGCACTATTCACAATAGCAAAGACATGGAATCAAACTAAATGCCCATCAGTTGTAGACTGGATAAAGAAAATGTAGTACATATATACCATGGAATACTGTGCTTCCATAAAAAAGAATAAGATCATGCCCTTTGCAGGAACATGGATGGAGCTGGAGGTCATTATCCTTAGCAAATTAATGCAGGAACAGAAATCCATATACTGCATGTTCTCACTTATAAGTGGGAGCTAAATAATGAAAAAACATGAAAACAAAGAGGGAGGTAACAGACACTGGGGCTTACTCAAAGGTTGAGAGTGGAAGAAGAAAGAGGATCAGAAAAAAATAACTAATGGGTAGTAGGCTTAATACCTAGGTGATGAAATAATCTGTACAACAAACCTCCATGACACGAGTTTACCTACATAACAAACCTACACATGTACCCCTAAACCTGAAATAAAAGATGGGTTTTTTGTTTCATTTTTTTAAAGAAAACATCTATTTTATACCAGACCCTAACTAAGAAGCCAGGAACCTTTCAGAAAAAAAATCAAGTTATCTGAAGCCCTCACTCTACAGATGGAGAAATTTTGTTCTGGAAATACTTTATGAAGATCATACATCTGGAGATTGCAGGTTTTCCTGAGTGCCTGTCTTCTGGCTTAGACTGAAAGAGTATGGGGGTTGAGTTCTGCTTTCCATTTCTCCTTCTTTCCTTCCTCCCTCCCTCCCTCCCTTCTTTCCTTCCTTCCTTCCTTCCTTCCTTCCTTCCTTCCTTCCTTCCTTCCTTCCTTCCTTCCTTCCTTCTTGATGGTGCTGCTAATATAAGTGATGGATCTCAATTCTTCTTAATTAAATGACGACACTCATGTAATTTTTAATGGAATAATGATTTTGAAGTATTGCTCCTGTAGATTGGTCAATAAACACATCTCATAATTACTAGTAAATAAATACCCAAATAGTGCCTTTAATATATGAAAAGATATATCTTTTCCAAATAATGTTAAAAAGTTGTTTTAAAAATAAGCCTACCATGTAAGCGTTGCCTAGAAAAGCTAAGGACTAGATCAAGAATAGCTGGCACAGCGAGAGGGGGGAAATAAAGACAGACAAAACTTTAGAGCCTTGAGAAAAAACGATCCAAATGATCCAAAGACAGCAATCTCACCTTTAGCTTTCTTTGAAGCTGGCACCTGTTCAATATCCTCTTCTAGAGTGCAGGAAAAAAAGACATAAAATCATAGTTATTTTTTCAGTTTTCCCAAAGAGGAAGTATTATATTTAAAGGTTTTTAAGAGTCATGAGATCCCTGAAGGCACAAACTCAGCATCTATAGTCTCTGTAAACAAGAGCTTTCTGACCAAAACAGGCACTTGTCTGACTTGGAGAGAGGATGTGGAGAAAATGATTATGGGCTGCACTGTGATAACAGACTGGCAAAGGTTACTTAGGGAAAAGGTCTGTGGTGACTTCCACCACCCACCCCCAGGTATCCCTCCTCCTCTGACTCCTAAAGCTTCTTCCAAAAACTGTAATCACTTATTGAATTTAGGAAAGTTAACGTAAATGAACTCACATGTACAGACTAGATAAAGAGATCAGTGTCTACCCATAGATCTTTTGATTTTATTTATTAGCAGATTGATGAGATTTTAGCCTTTTTGACAATTCTAAAAGCCCAAAAATAAACTAATCTTTGACAATGATACCAAGAACTAACAATGGGGAAAGACAGTCTCTTCAATACATGCTGTTGGGAAAACTGGATATCTACATGCAAAAGAATGAAAGTGGACCCTTATCTTCCATCACCCCAAAATCAACTCAAAAAGGATTTAAAGATTTAAATGTAAAACCTGAAACACTTTTAACAGTAAACACAGGGGAAGAGCTTCTCAACATTGGTCTTGGCAGTGATTTTATGGATCTGACACTAAAAGTACAGGCTACAAAAGCAAAAATAAACAAGTGGAAATATATCACACTAAAAACTGTGTACAGCAAAGGAAACAATGAAGAAAATGAAAAGGCATCTTATGAAATGGGAGAAAATATTTGCAAGCCATATATCCAAAGAAGATTAATTTCTAAAATATACAAGACATTGATACAACTCAATAGAAAAAAAAAATAAATGGGCAAAGGACCTGAGCAGACACTTTTCCAAAGACATATACAAATGACCAACAGGCACATGAAAAGATGCCCTATATCATTAATTGTCATGGAAATGAAATCAAATCACAATGAGATAATTACCTCATATTTGTTAGAATACCGATTATCAAGAAGTAAAATGACAGGTGTTGGTGAGGATTTAGAGAAAAGGAAACTTTTGTACACTGTTGATAGGAATGTTAATTGGTATTGCCATTATGGAAAGCAGTATGGAGGTTCTTAAAAAATTTGTTTGTTTATTTATTTAACCACTAGTCAAGACTGGTCCTCAAAAAGTTTGAGAAGAAGCTACCATATGATCCAGAAATTTCACTTCTGGGTATATATCCAAATTTATATCAAGTATATTGTATGCTTGAAATTATCTAAGAAAGTAGATCTTAAATGTTCTCACCACACACACACAGACACACAGAATAGTGGTAACTATGTGAAGTGATGAGCATGTTAATTAGCTTGATTTTAGTAATTATTTTATAATGTCTATGTATATCAAAATATCACATTGTATAGAAATATGTATATAATTTTTGTTTGTCACTTATACCTCAATAAAATTGGTAGGGAAAGTAAGACATTTCATTTGAACTAAAGCTCAAATACATATACAATGACTGTTAAGTTGTATTATGTAAATCACCTGGTCTTTTCTGCATTCAACTTACAAGCACATAATGGAATGCTGTAGAAGTAATTTTAAATCAGAGGTAATTCTAATGAAATACAATTGAATGATGCTTTAGTTTTTAACATTTGAAATTATCTGAAAGAAGGTCAGTTTTATTTATTTAGATTTTGCATACCAGCTGATCACTAGTAAATGAAAAACGGGTAAGATAGGGTCATATGCAAATTTCCTGTAATAGGAAAGTAATGTGACCTTTATGGAAAAATGCTATTATGTAGAAGAAAACAACAGAAAAAGAAACAAAATTACTAGAATATTTTTACTATATATTATTAAAGTTTTGATCTAATCAGTTTGAAATAACATTTAAACATAGGTTTAACTCTATTAAATACTGGATAAAATGACCATGGTTTTGAACTGCCTAATCAACAGCTACAAATAAGGGAACAGTACAAACTGTTACATGATGTAGTGAAATAATACCCATATTTTAAAAATGATATCAGTTGCTAAACAAATCAAACAGTATCTTAATTATGTAATAAGATCCTATTAATTTCTATGGAAGGCTTATACAAAAATAAAATGAGGAATGGTTCTTGTCCACAAGGAACATATATTTTATTTTTGTAGATTATATCACACTTGAAACCTATTCTTTGGATCCATTTAATACTCCTAGAAAAATAAATACAAATGGAAGGAATAAAGACCTCGATGTCTTCAAATTCTATATTCTGGTCCAGTATCAACTGGCTATAAGTGATAAAAGCTGGTAAGAGCTGAGTCACATGTCAATTGCTCAAGAGACAGAAGCAGAGAAAGTAAACTGCAAGGACAGTTGCTATAGAGATGCAATTTCTGTGGAAGCAACTTAGCAGCAAAAACTTACTGAACTAGGAATAATATTCAAGAAAGAAATAAGGCACTTACAGTCCACTTTTTTTTTAACAACTTGCACATTGAGTGGTAGTTTTGATGAAACAAATATCTGACTCTGAAAAGGTAGAATAATGGCAGTAAAAGGAGTGTCAAAATATGCCAATGAAATTTTAAAGGGTGACCTGCTTTTGTAGGACAGAGAGGAAAATGTTTTATGAAGGAAATAAAATTTGAAACGGGACTTATAGTATTTGGGCAGAAGAAGATGCCAAAATTAAAGCAAAGGCAACAGTATGAAAAAAGGCTAAAGACAGCAAAGGACAGAGGTATTCAGGGAGCAGGGGGAATATTCCGGAAAGGCTGGATAAGATTATCATGTGGAACATCTTATATATCACGCTAAGTAGCCTCAACTGAATTTCATAGCTAGTGAAGTTTGCTCAAGAGATAAATAATGTTTTAGAGATGTACTTGGTAAGAATAAAACTAGAGCATGAGAGAATTAATGCAGAGGATGCAATTTGGAAAGTGTTCTAATAGAATAGAACCAATAAATTCTCCAGGTAGGAGTCACTGAAGGAGTTGAATGCAAAAAAGGTTTTGCCAAAAGAGTAAAATATAATTAAATAGAAGTAAGTGCAAGAAATCAATACTATAAAGTATACTATAATATATTATTTGAGTTTGGAGAAAGACAGTGGTGCCACTCCCAGCCACAAGGAAATCCCTAGGGGACACAGATATTTGCTGGGGATAATGAAAAGTTTGATTTTCTATGGGTTGAACTGTGGTGCTAGGCCAGTCATGCAGTTGCAAATGCTTAGTAGGAAGAAAGAGCCAGCAAGCTATCTGAAAAAGTTAGAAGTTATATGCATCAAGTTAATGGGCAAAACTGGGTAAATTGGGAGATCATCACTTTTAATTGTGGCAATAATAATTCATATTTCTTAAGACTTTCTACATGCTGGGCCATATTAAATTATTTTATATGTGTTAACATATTTTATCTTGACAACAACTGTATGAGGCCAGGACTCTTTTTTTTTGGAGAAAGGGTCTGACCCTGTCACCCGGGCTGGAGTGCAATGGCACCATCTCTGTTCACTGCAACCTCTGAGGCAAGGACTCTTATATTGAATCTACCGTACAAATGGAAGAGAGACGGGTTAAATCCTGCCCAAGATCACAGAACTAGTGAGTGTCAGAGCCAGAACAAAAACATAATCCAAATCTGCCTACATCAGGGCGTCTTGAAAGAGGACTGAAATTTATTACACAAATAGTACACCTGCTATGTGCCAGCCACTGTTCTAAGCACATTATAAATGTTAACACTTTTCACCTCCTTAGAAAAAATCTATGAGGAAGATACTATTATTGTTCCTGTTTAATAGGTGGGACAATTAAAAATCAGAGAGACTCAATGTCCCAGAGCTATAAGATGTGAAGGAACTGGTATTCAGATGCAGACATTCTGGCTCCAGAGATGGTGCTGTTAATTACTAAGCCAATCTGCCTGTATTAGTTTGTTTTCATACTGCCATAAAGTACTGCCCAAGAATGGCTAATTTATAAAGGAAAGAGATTTAATTAATTCACAGTTCAGCCTGGCTGAAGAAAGCTCAGGAAACTTACAATCATTACAGAAGGGGAAGTCAATATGTCCTTCTTCACATGGTGACAAGGAGAAGAATGAGAACCAAGCAAAGGTGGCAACCCCTTATAAAACCATCAGATCTCCTGAGAACAGGGTTATGGAAATATAATTCAGAGTGAGATCTGGGTGGGGACATAGCCAAACCATATCACTTTCTTGGGAAGAAGAACTTCTAAACTCTGATTCTAGTACCCATGCGTTATGTTGCCTAACACACCTGCTGGCAGGCTCTGACAAAGTCAAGTTATGCATGAGCCACACACTTGTGCAGAACAGAAATGAAGGAGGAGGCATTCCACTAGCTCCCTTAGAATAAGATGGGATGCTAAGTGTGTCCCTCTGCACTTCCAACAATCTGTTCTCCCTCTGGGGATGAAAAGTTACTTAGTTGTCTCTGAAAATGATAATGACAATGAAGAGGTAAACATAATATTTGTTCTGTTTGTCTAAACATTATAAGTAATGTAGGTTACTGTTATTTCAAACATTGAAGAATAAAAATATACTATCTTGACTTTCAAATTGTAGACTTCACTCTTCACTTACATAAAAACAGACTCCAGAGGAATCAGAATTAGCAATGAATCCATCCTTTCATCTAAGCAGATGTCTGCACTATAACAGAGTCATGAAAAAATGGGTCATCTCGTCTGTATGGCCATCATTTTAATCAATGACTAGGTTTTGTATAAATCTTCAATACTTATTGAATTGGTCCTGCTGTCACGGGGGTTTTTAAATAGCTATCAGTTTATTAAAAATTAGAATGATTACAATAGAAAGTCCTGGATTTTGTCTGGTCAAGTAGTATCAAACCAAAAGAGCTTGTATCTTCTGGTTAACTGAAGGAATTTCTCCT